AGGTGAGTACTGTTATTATCTCTGCTTTACAGATGGGGAAAACTGAGGCAAACAGATTAAGTGACTTGCTCAGGGTCACAAAGCTAGTAGGTGGACTGAGCTTAGATTTGAATTTGGGTCTTTCTGACTCCATACCTGATACTTTATTCACTGCGCCACCTAGCTGCCTATTAAACAGAGAAAGACAGCACCTAGAAGAACATTGACCACTACTCACCTCATGTGCCTAGTCTTGTCACATTTAGGGCATCCTTAATGAGGATACTAGTTAGAAACAGGCAGGCTTTTGCAAGCAATATTTCACATTGGTCCACACCTTTACATTCAACACAAGTGACTGAAAGTTATAGGTAATAGAAGATCCCCCCTGTTCATCATCATGTCTATCTGGGACTGACAGTACAAATGAACAACAATTTGGGCCAGAATTAAGCAGGTGGAAGACAGGCTAGATTGCTTTCAGGAAGTTGCAGAGCCCCCTTTAATGACCCCGGATTTCTCTCAGAAACAAAGGGCTTTTCTACTGTCAGTTTTCTAATTATAGTGTTGCATGACTATAAAATGGAGAGAACAACAGTCATGAGAAAGCGAGGGAGCAATACCATGTGAGTGAGAGTAGGTAAAACTTCATTACATCATAAGCTCTGCTATTTAACTGGTGGGGTAATTCTTCCCCCAGCATAGATGGCTGTTCCTCCATTTTTGAGTAGACAGTTTCATGAATTACTTTAGCCAAAAACATATCACTTGGTGACCAACCTTCTGAACTTACCTAGGTTGGTTCTGAATTTATACCATACAGAATTCAAAGACAATATAGTTTAATAGGATTTGCCATAATTTGTGCTCCAAAATGGTATGGCCTTTAAAAACCTGGGATCACTTGCATGTCATAATGAAGTATGAGTAGGACTTGAGTGGAGGAAAGTTGTTTTTTGGGTTTTTTTGAGTGAAGCAATTGAGGTTAAGTAACTTGCCTAGAGTCGCACAGCTAGTAAATGTTATGTCTAAGACTGGATTTGAACTCAGGTCCTCCTGACTCCAGTGCTGGTGCTCTATCCACTGCGCCACCTGTCTGCCCCCAGAGGAAAGTTTTAATAAAATTTTTAATACTAATTGGTGATGAAACTGCCTGTTACAGACTGGATTATATTAGGAGTGGCTTTTAAAATTATCTGAGTTCCTGGACACTTTCTATAGGGCTTTACTTTTTGTCTTTCAAAAATAATTTTAAGTAAAAGAAATATTTTGTTTTTATTTTACCTTTATTTGGGAATATATCTGTTCTTCAGCCCTGCTGTTCCCTTTAGCTTGAGTCAATTCATATAATAAAATAGAGAGAAAAAGCATTTTTAAAAATTCCCTTGGGGCAGCTAGGTGGCACAGTGGATAGAGAACCGGCCCTGGAGTCAGGAGGACCTGAGTTCAAATGCGACCTCAGACACATAACACTTACTAGCTGTGTGACCCTGGGCAAGTCACTTAACCCCATTGCCTAGCCAAAAAAAGAAAAAAAAAAGAAAAAAATTCCCTAGCACATTAACCAAGTCTGCCAGTTATATGCATTATTTCATATCCATAGTCCCCTATCTCTGAAAAAAAAAAAGGAGGGAGATATACTTCCTCAATTCTTCAGGGTCAACCTTTTTGGTTATTACATAGCATGCAATTTTGTTGTTTTAGTTATTGTGTATATTGTTTTCCTGGTATTTCATCCTATGTCAATTTACTTAAGTTTTCCCATGCTTCTCTGTAGCTTCATATTTATCATTTCTAATGGTATGGTACCCAAATCCATTACATTGATGTACTGCAATTTGTTTAGCCTTTAAGCCTTAATCTTTGGATTATTGATTTAGAACCAGAAGTGACCTTAGAGGTTGTTTCATTCAATTCACTCATTTTACAGATGAGCAAACTGAGACCAAGAGAGGTTAAGTGATTTGCCCAAGGCCATCCAGGTAGTAAGTGGCAGAACTGGGATTCAAACCTGACTTCTTTCGGCTTCAGATCCAATGCTTTTCACCGTACCACTTACCACTATGAAAAAGTATGCAGAATACTTTAATGACTGGTTTTGTACTATTTCACAAAAGTTGGAATTAAATGTAAAATTTTAAAAATTAGTGCTAGAAAAAAAATATCTTTTATTTGAATTAGAATAAAATTCTTAGTGGAAGAAAGGTTAAAACATTTTTCACATATTTATATATCATACTGTTATACCTGTTCTGTGGATGTGTATATCTAGTTGCATATTAAAACACACACACACACACAAAACCCCCACACTATTAAGCATGCTGGAGTAGTTTAATAATGAAATTAATACTAATAGCTTTTGATTATAATCCTAAATATAAATTTACTGTAATTGGCATGCTAAAAAACTAGTTTAAATGAAATTGTATATTTTTTAACTAGTGAAGATATTTACTTTAAAGAGATTAAGCAGTTTTTTAAATGGCATGATGAAATATATAGATCATACCTAGCAGTACAAATTAAAATTATTTTGCTCTGAGACTCAGAAATATTGTGAAGTCATTTCTGTACTTTCAATGATTAAAAAAAGTTAATGGGGCTGCTAATTTTCTTCTGTTTCTATAATTTATTGTTTATGCAAATAGAACATTTTTCCCTTTGCAAAAAAACCACTTTTTTCCTCAGCTATTTGATATTTTTTGATAAGTGCCTCTTAAATCTAGAAAGACATTAGTGATATTTGTAAGAGATTGTTGGCACACACACATATATATATATATATGTACATACATGTGTATATGTGATTTTCTTGTAAGAAGCTAGAATCTTAATAGAATATAAACACAAAAATTTGAACAATGTGAAAATTGGATTTACAGAAAGATTATCAGAGTATTTATTACTTTGTATTGGTGATCTCATCACTGTGGGTACTACTTTCTCTGTTCCCATTCCTTATCATGTTAGGTTGTTGATTTTATCTTTCCATATATTCTTCATAGAGGATTCACCCAATGGGATGGAGGTTTTCCTCTGGTTACTTTTGTTTTTGATGGGTACTAGTGTAATAGTCAGTTTGTCCTGTTATCTTTTACTCTCACTACATATAGGCCACAGACACTTGATACTTAGTAGCTGTGTGACCCTGGGCAAGTCACTTAACCCCACTTGCCTAGCCCCCCCGCCCCCAAAAAATTAATAAATCTATGGGAAAAGCTTCCATCAGGGCCCCTGGTATCTAATGGATTATCAATAGAGTATCAAATAGATCTCTTCAACAGATAGATCAATAGATAATCAAGAACTTGTTTTCTTTTTACAGATTTTCCTCCTATTCAATACTGTATTTAAAAATGTAGCTCTGAATTTTTGTTCTCTTCATTTAGTAAACCCCCATTTAATACTATATTTTAAAGTGAAACACTCGAGGTTTTAAAATAAGTCAAATCTGCACAAATATTGTCTAATTTGGCAACCTATTATGTCATCATTCTTATGTTTCCTAATGTGTTTTTTTCCCCCCCAAAACAAGGCTTGCTTCCATACCTTCCCTAAGGCACAATAAATCTTTCTGTAAGCAGCTGTGAAATAGTTACAAAGGTTAGAGTTTTTTTCCCCCTCTTTGTAAAAAAAAAATTTGGTACAGGGAAATGTAAGTACTTGTTTTTGTCAAGATTAAGCAGACATTAAAATATATTTGGAGTTTCAAATTGAAAGTGAAATAATAAATAGAAATTTTGGGCTACTTGTAGGTAAAAATATACGTTTTTAAATAGCTTCAGGAATCTTTAATTAAATTCAAATAGCATTTATCTTAAGCATTATGTGCAAGGTACTATGCTATTTTAAGATGGAAAAAATGCTTAAATAGCAGAAATACAACATAAGGGATAGAATATACAAGTAAAGAGAAGAAAGATTATTTGAAGAATGAGAGAATGTTAAGTATGAATAGGATGGAAGTAAGATCAGAAAAGATTTCACAAGGGATGGAAATTTGAAGGAGTAATGAGGATGTAGAGGCAGTAAAATGCGGCTGATTTTTTTCTAGGAATTTGGTAGTGTAGAGGAATCCAGACAGGAGATGAAATCCTGATGTGTTTGATAGGATCAAGTAAAAGTTTTTTAAGGATGAGGGAGACCTGACCACAGTGGTTGGCAGTGCCAAAAGTGCTAATGGATAGGAAAATATTGAAGATAAGGGAATAATCCATAGGACAATATCCTGGTGGAAGACAGGGACAGGGGTTTGGACGAAGAAGCATTGGTAGTGGGCTCCATTATCATACCAGGTAATAATTAGCAAAGCTGAGATTTGAAACCAGGTCCTCTTACTCCAAAGCTAATACTCTTTCTGTTGCATCATGCTGTCTCTTCACATTTTTCCTTTATTAAAAAAAATAGAATATATCATGCAAATTGTGTTTGAGATTGCTTCTGCTGGTACTAAATGGATTCAGTTGCTCTATTTAAAATATTTATTCCTATATCAATTTTTTGAGGGAGATTGGTTATGAAATGTGTACCATATGAACAGTTAAAGTAAAAAAAATTAGGTTTTGCATATGGTACAACTTAAAACCTATTATCTTGTGTAAACATTAAGTCACATTTAATGAAATCCCTTGATGTATGAAAATTTAAATTGTAGTTAACTATTTTTGGCTGTGGAACAAAGCATTGGTATAAATAATTTAAAATAAACCATTTGAAAATTCATGTCCCTGGTTGCATGTCACTCTTGATCCTTATTCTCCCTTCCACTTTCATTTCTTCTCTTTTGCACTGAGATTGTTTCTGGTTAGAATTTTCTGAGGTAGCAGAACCAGGAGCATCCTGGGGTTGGGTCAGAAAGCCTCTGACATTGTTGGGAAGATGAGGGAATTTGGCTTGGTATCACACCCTAGAGAAGGAGGTGGCCTTGGAACTCAGTGAAATAATTGGCAAGACATAGGCTAATTTTGTCTGGGTCAATCATGATTTATTTATTTTTACATGTTTTTTTCTGCGTTTAGCTGGCCCTGGAAATTTTTTCACATGTCTTCTGAGAAGGCGACGATTACAGTTCGTCTGATTCGTTCCTTTGAGCATCGAAATTTCAAGCCTCTTGTTTACCATGGAGTTAATTTGGACCAGACTGTAAAAGAATTTATTGTATTCCTAAAAAAAGGTATGATTTTATTAACAATTAGCTCAATTATTGCTGTAGTAATAATCATGTTTCTTAATATAGATTCCAGTCCAAGCTAACTTGTGGACTTTTGTAATATTACTTTTACTGGTTTGTCCAGAGAAGATCAAGCTTCATATTCTTTAGATTTGATGTGTGGTGTAGCTACATTATGTGTAAAAAATATTCTAGTCACTAGCATTAACAGAAGTTATTTGCCAAGGATGCACATATTAGAGATAGTTGCATTTGCGTAGCATTGTGACATTTTGTGTAGTTTCTGCCTCTTTTCCCCCAAAGTTGATGATTTTTATGCATTGTCCTTTAGAGGACCCAAATATTCCATTTTGCTCTTCATCCTTGACTTTCCTACCTCAGTTTGTAATTTTGAGTTAAAGTTAACTGAGGGAAGAAGTTATTCTTTTTGTTGTGATTAGGACTTAAAAAGGGTAGGATTTTCTAATACATATGATTGATATGATGGTTCAGTCATTTACATTTATTTAGGTACTGTTAGTTCTCCAAGGGATGCCCTTCATCTCTCTAGTTTCATCTTCAGCTCCTTCATCTGTATGTTTGAGTAGGTGGACAAGATGATCTCAAAGCTCCTTTCTAGTTTTAATTTCTGACTCTTTGACCAAAGAATAGTTTTGACAAAAAACTAAAAGCTATTGTAACTGATAGTTGTCAATTAACATAATTGCCAAAGAGGTACAGCTATCCTGTTCAACTAAATTTTTAAATTTTATGGATTTAAATTTATCTTTCTTAAGAATATTCCTTTTTTACTTTGGCTACTTGAGGATTAGCAATGATGGAGTGTTGTGTCTCCTAGAGAGAGCACTGTTTTTTAAATTGTCAGGCTCAAATGTCAAAGTTTCAAAATGAAAGAATAAATGCTCCCAAACCATCATGTTCCCTTCTCAACGTATGTCAGGTCCCCAGTAGCCACTAGCTTTGGAGTCAGGGGATGATGTGTTGGAGTTGTTTTTGTACTTCCTTATCGCCCAGTGCTGTAGAACATATTTCCCTTAAGAAATAGTGTTACCAGTGGTAATGATATTTCTTTTTTTTTTATTTTTAATGAATTTATTTTGAATTATCAACAATCACTTCCATAAGCTTTTGGGTTTTAAATTTTTCTCCCTCTCCCTCCCCAAGACGGCACACAATCTGATATAGGCTATACATATGTATTCCTATTAAACATATTTTCATATTAGTGATGTTGTAGGTAAGAATTAGAACCAATAGGAGGAATCACCAGAAAGAGGAAACAAAATACAACAGAAGAAGAAAAAAAATAGCAAATAGTATGCTTTGATCTGCATTCAAAATCCATAGTTCTTCAGATATAAATGGGTTTTTTCTATATCTTTGAAGAGTCCTCATATTGATAAGGTCATATATTTATCAAAATATCTGTTTAAAAATAGGTTCTTATTAGTATCTTTTGTTTTTACATGACCTAATTTCCCCATCCTGCCCTTTCCTATTCCTGAGCCATCCCTTATAACAAAGCATTTTTTAAAAAGAGGAATAAAAGAAAAAAAGTTATCAAAACAAATCAACTCATTGAAAAATTCTGATATTATTTGTGGTGTTCTACTTCTGCAAAGGAGTAATGGAAAGTGTGTTCTTTGGAGGAGGAGGAGTGGAGTTTGGTCATTATAATTTTGCACCATTAAAAAAAACCCACCAAAATCCATAGTTCTTTCTTTGGATATGGGTAGCATTTTCCATCATGAGGCCTTTGGAGATGGCTTAGATCCTTGTATTGCTGAGATGAGTTAAGCCTATCAATATTAGTCATCGTACAACATGGCTGTTATTGTATACAGTGTTCTCCTGGTTCTGCTCACCTCACTCAGCATCAGACCATACAAGTCTTTCCAGGTTTTTCTGAAGTCAGCCTGCTCATCATTTCTTATAGCACAAGAGTATTCCATTACATTCATATACTACAACTTGTTCAGCCATTTCCCAATTGATGGACATCCTCTTAATTTCCAGTTCTTTGCCACCACAAAAAGAACTGCTATAACTATTTTTGTACATGTAGGTCCTTTTCCCATTTGTATGATCTCTATGGGATATAGCCCTAGAAGTGCTATTGCTGGGTCAGAGGGTATGCACATTTTTATAACCCTTTGGGCATAGTTGCAAATTGCTCTCCAAAATGGTTGGATCATTTTGCATCTCCATCAACAATGCATTAGTGTTCCAATTTTCCCACATCTTCTCCAACATTTATCATTTTCTTGTTTTTTTCTTGTTGGCCTATCTGATAGGTGTGTTGTGGTACCTCAGAGTTGTTTTGATTTGCATTTCTCTAATCAATAGTGATTTAGAGCATTTTTTCTTATGACTATAGATGGCTTTAATTTCTTCATTTGAGAACTGCCTGTTCATGGTGGTGATGATATTTCCAGGCCAGCCTGAAAAGGCATATTTAACTCATAATGTAGCAGAACTCTTATACTTCAAATGCTATTCATATTTTTTTTCTATGATAAACTATATCTGAAGTTCCAATGAATGGACATATTACCACAGGTGCTAGAGATATGAGGAGAAACATGAAAGAATGTCTACCTTATGCTTGGAAAAACTCAGGAGGGGCCTGCTAGGCATAACTGAAAATATATTTTAACTTTAATAACGTAAAAAGTAAAGAACAACAGTATCAAAACAATAGAACTTGCTGTTGTAAAAGTATAATAACCACACTTGGTGCCCCCAAAAAAGAGATGAGAAAGCATCCCCCATCCCTTTTCAGATGAAGGGGCATTGTGTGTATGAACCAGCCCATCAGTAGCTGAGGCAGGGACTCATCCAGCAGTGATGCCATGTATGGACATGAATTTAGCATGATCAGTGCTAGGTGGAAATTGCATTAAGTCTGAACCCACTGTCCCTAGGGACCAAAGTGATACAAGGGGGAGTGCCCCCAAAGTGTGTATGGGGAAAGTCTGTACTTCTGATGTTGCTATATCTTTGAAGAAATCCATTTGTAAAAGTGAATTGATGTTAATTGTTCAAATGGAACTGTGTACTAGTCATTGGTTGCTAATAGTAAGGGTGGGGGGAGCACACCTGAAATGGACAGAAATTTGTTTTTTAATTAAATTAATTTTTTTGGGGGGGTTGCCTTTTGAGTTCTGAACTGTCTCCTTCTCTCCTTCCCCACTCTGCACTAGAGAAGGCCACCATTTGACACAGATACACACACACACACACACACAAACACACACACACATACACACATGTAAAATTACATACTATGGTTTTACATCCCTCTGGAGGTGGATAGCATCTTCATAGGTCCTTTGTAGTTGATTTGAGTATTTAAATACTCAGAATAACTTAGTTGTTCACAATTCTTCTTCGAACAGTATTGTTATTACTGTATACAATGTTCTCTTGGTTCTGCTCATTTCACTTTTCATTGTTTCATGTAAGTCTTTCTGTGTTTTTCTAAAATCAGCCAACTCATCATTTCTTATAGCACAGTAGTATTCCATCACAATCATACACATAACTTGTTTAGCCATTCCCCAATTGATGAACATCCCCTCAATTTCCAGTTCTTTACCATCTGCCACAAAGAGAGCTGCGATAAATATTTTAGAACACTTGGGAAAGAGACCTAATAGTGGTTTTGCTGGGTCAAAGGGGTATACACAGTTTTATAACTCTTTGGGCATAATTCCAGATTGCTCTCCAAAATGGTTAGATCAGTTCATAGTTCATGATCAACAGTGATTAGTGTCCCAATTTTCTCACAGCTCCTCCAATATATGTCATCTTCCTCTTCTATTGTTTTAGCCAGTCTGATGGCTGTGAGATATCTCAAAGTTGTTTTAATGTACATTTCTCTAATCAATAATGATTTAGAACATTTTTTCATATGACTATATATAACACTGATTTCTTTACTGAAAAACTGCCTGTTCATATCCTTACAACTTATTAATTGGAGAATGACTCATATTCTTATAAATTTGATAAAATTCTCTACATATTTGAGATATGAGATGTTTATCTGAGAAATTGCCTGTAAAATTTCCCCCTCAATTTTCTGCTTTCCTTTTATTCATTACGACATTGGTTTTATTTGTCCAAAACCTTTTAAGTTTAGTGCAATCAAAATTATCCATTTTACATCCCACAATGCTGTCTTTTGTTTATTCATAAATTCTTCTCCAATCTTCTAACTGATAGGTAATATGTTCCATGTTCTTCTAATTTACTTATATCTCCCTTTATATCTAGGTCATTTTGACCTTACCTTGGTAAATGGTCTAAGATATTAACCTATACCCAATTTCTGCCTGACTGCTTTACAGTTTTCCCAACAATTTTTACCAAACAGTGAATTCTTGTCCTGAAAGCTTAAATTTTTACATTCATCAAACAGTTTATTGTATGTATATTGTACATTCTATATCTGCCTACTCTGTTCTACTGATCTATCTTTCCGTTTCTTAGCTAGTACCCTAGTGTTGATAATTAGCCTTATAATCTAGTTTAAGATCTGGTACTGCTAAACTTCTTCCTTTACTTTTTTTTTTTATTAATTCATTTGTTATTTTTGGCTTTTTTTCTTCCAAATAAATTTTGTTATTTTTTTTTTAGCTCAACAAAGTAATTTTTTGGTAATTGTGATGGCATTGAATAAGTAGATTAGGTAGAACTGTCATTTTTATTATATTGGCTCTGCCCACCCATGAAGAATTAATGTTCATATATTTAAATCTGACTTTATTTGCATGAAAAGTATTTTGTTATTATGTTCATGTAATTCCTGGGTTTGTCTTGGCAGGTATACTCTAGGTATTGTATGCTGTGTACAGTTATTTTAAATGGGATATCTCTTACTATCTCTGCTTGCATGGTTTTATTGGCGATATATGCTGATGATTTATGTGGATTTATTTTATATATCCTGCTACTTTGCTACAATTATTGTTTCAACTAGCTTTTTAGTTGAACCTAGG